TCTTGGTGTTATACTATTGTCTACGATTATGCCTTAAAATGGAAATTCACTTCGAATACTCTTAAAATTTTTATTCCACTTCTGTTACTGTCCAATGGTATTTGCCTCGTAATATTTAATCGATACTTGTATTAGTGAAATATTTCAGTTCCAAATAAAGACAACGAAATAAAAATATTTACAAAAACATGTAAAAAAGTATTTTGGAAAACAATATAACATGGTTTAAGCATCCATGTGATAATAAAATACTTACTTCGGAATGTCGTTTTACACCATTCCTATTGGACTCATCCTTGTCTTACAGTTTCACACGTACGTGATACAAAGGAATTTTTTTTTTTACCGCCACTGCCTGAATTACCGCACCTGTCATTATACCAGTTAGACGAACTCCACTTATAACACCTTCAGATTTTTTTTTTATTATCGAACCAGTTTTCTCCGACTGAATAACGCACACACCTTCGAGGTTAATTCAAAAGTGCTATTTTACAAACGCCTCCTGAAATATTCTGATACGCCAAATCCACACACGTACCCTCACCTACACAAGTATTAATCCTCATGACAAATCATCTTTCATGATATTTTAGAAAAGTTCACATCACTTACGTGAAAACAGTAGGTCTATACTTGCGGGGATGAACATTAGATATCTAGTCTTGCACAATACCAAATCCAAGTTTAATTTACTGCAAACTCAATAATTAATGTCTTGTATTTTCAACTCTCAAAGGGCAGTTTTATTTCGTGTTTATATTGCGGTCTATTTTGTTAGTACTGGAAATTATTAATTATGAATTTCATACTGCACGAAATAATTATTTTCAAATCTGTTATCTGTTAACAGAAAAGATAATCAAATTTCATAACTGACATGCATTCAAATACATTTGGTTTTACGTTCTATTGCAAAAAGTTTATCCTATACGTTAATCGCACAAACAATTATCTTTTGATAATTATGACAAGTTTTAAAACAAAATGCTTCTCCAACATTATTTTCATTAAATTTATTCCCAGCTACATATAACCAATTTTATTTAACCAAAACTTTCAGACTAACTTGCGCTTATCAATTTTTAAATTTCAAGTACAAAAAATATTTATAAATCTAGTTTTCCCGCATAACAAACAAATTTATTTGCCAGTTATTTATCGGAAATTGATCTAAAGTTATTAATTTACAAGCGTTTGAAAACTACCATATATAATTCGCGAATTTCTAAACATCAGTTTCTCTCCAAACAAAACTTGAAGCAACATACACAGGTAGTAATTGACGATTATCTTCCCTTTTACTAACACAGGCCTGGGAAATTTTAACTTCATACAAGTTGTTTTGGTTCTACTAACAGATTTTTCATAATTTAGCTAAGCAGATTTGGAAAGAAAACTTTTTTTTTGGTTACGCAAGAATTTTCAACAAATCCGAAAGAAAAAAAACTTGGATCAAATTATTATTTCGTTTACCACAATGAATATTTATGTTTACAAAAATACAAACTGAAGAAAAGAACATTGATGTCAAACGAATTTGCATCTTTATTCATCCTGATTTTTTTTGAAATCTTAAGTTTTGTAGTTTCCAAAACTAGGTGTTGTGGTTTTTCTTTTATGTATTGCGTTATAGTTTTGTGATAAATCTGTACGTGATGGGGGAAAAAAATGGATATTTTCGGATTCAGCGTATAGAAATTACGGAACATGTAAACATTTCAAGACAATAAAACCATCGCAGGCCTGAGTTATTAACCGTTATATTCTGCCACTTTGACAAATTTTAGCGTAGATTCTCAGGTTTTAATATTAAATAAAAATGCCAAGATTACTCAATATTCACCCACATTTCATAGTAATACCAAGTTAGTTTTTAGCTTCACAGACATGCAGGCGTTTAATTACACAATCTTAGCCTGTCAAGATCATTTTTACTGCATTACTCTGAATAACTTTTACATGACCATAACGGAATTACGTATGACTGTATTGAATTTTTTAAATCTTATAACTTTCTAAGATAGAATCCGACTTTATACATTTTGAAATAGATACTTGAGATTTCTCGTATATTTATTTTTTTAAGTATAACTGATATTGTAATACATTGGGAAAAGTAAACTAATGTGCATAAACACCCCGTCCATTCTTCCTTAACATGTGCCAGTCTATCTTCTTTAGTTCTGTGCTCTTCCGAGATGTCTTTCCTTGAATGCTATACATACCTGATTTACTCCACAGCATTAACACAACGAAAAATTTGTCTCAGTAAGTCGTTCATATTATTGCCTTTTAAAAGTAAGTTTATACTGAAATTGTCTATATGTATAACCGAATTATAATAGTACACTAAAATTCCTTCGATTTTGAAGCAAATAACGTTGGTATTAGTATTAGACGAATGAATTTATGTAAGTTCCAGTTATTTCAACTAGATTTTAAAATTTATACCAATATCAGTTTATCTAATCATATGTCTTTCAAAAATATTTCATTTATAACTAATTTTCGTTATGCAATCTTCAAATAAATTAGTAATTCCAGTTTAAGTGAACAAAACTTTCAATACTTAACTATGTTCAACATTTGATATTTTTCTCTAAAACAAAATATGGAACAATAAGTCTGAATACACATTTCTTTAATTTTTGCATCATGAAATCAGCATTGAACACACAATCAACAAAGTAGCTAGCCAAAGGCTAAAAATATTATAAATTTTAAATGAAAGCTCGTGGAGTCCTGTACTAAATGTTTACTACTTACCCATACCAGATCCAAAACAAAAGAAAATACAACTAAAACATCTTTCCCTCACAACCAAGGCTTTATTATGTAACCACGATTAACTTACCTCTTATTCTGAACAATTTAAATAAGATAAAAGAAAACCTACCTGCAACAAAAAATAGGGTTTGATGGCACTACTCACCTTTTAATTACCCTAGCCATAGGCTAAATTTTACAAAACACCATTGCTGAAAAACATGGTCACATCAGGTAAAATAACACAAAACTAACATTGTCTAACTCACTAGTCTCAGTTTTTAAAAGTAATCACGATTTTCAAGTTTCTTTTGCCATTACCACATACCTGTTTTTACCCTTAGCCTTAGGCTAAATACAGCAACAGAAACTTGACATATCCAATTTACACAGAACTAATATTAACTCACCATTTATTCTCCGTTACACCACGTGACAAAATAAAAATCTGACATTTAAATTCAAAATAAAATGCTAATTAACTCACCTTTAAAATGCGAGGAGAAAATCCTTTTAATTTTCAGTAGATTAAACTATATATTTTAGTTATCCAAAAAAAAAACAAATCTTTTAGGCAATAACAAACTACAGCAAAGATGTCCACAGATTATGAGACTAACATTTAATCAACCTTTACCCTATTACCTCTCTAGCCACTGGCTATAATTAGTCACCATCCTGTGGACATCATAACTACAAGACAAAACACACACACAAGAAAAAAAGACTTGCCCATCTCTGGTAATTAACATCTCAAAATTGCTGCTACCATTCTGGAACAATTTTCCATCTTCCCAGTATTCTCCACATTAGGCAATTTTTTGTTTTGTTTCAGCTCTGGTGCACATATATCTATTACAACCTCGCGCAAATTTAACTCTTAAGACTTCATTGGAAGAAAAACACACACCAATAAAAAGTTTTTTTTATTAATATATCACTTACAACTTTCATAATTCAGTAATTAGGCACTAGTGAATCAAAGATACTAATATTACAAGAAAAATTATAGTTACTTCACACATCAAAATTAGATATAAAATCTTATAATGTGAAGCCTTCAACATAATGCATCAGTAATTTGAAATGAACGATTGAAATAAATAAAGTTCCAATAAAACAAATTCCCAATAACCAAGATTTAAAATACTTACCTTTGAAAACCACAAGTAAAGATTCCATATTAAAATTTCCATTGTATGCAACAGTCTTCTCGAACTACTGTACAAAATTCATACAGTACCAAATGACATTTTATTTTAAATACATATGATGTGGAATCTTTACTTAAGTTCCAAGATCCACACCATTTATCTCGTGCTTCTCCTGGGCTCTTTTAATACTACTGTTGCTTCTACCAACTTGGAAATAGGCAACTTAAACCATGGATGCACACATATCATTTCATTCAGAGTGAACTGTGGAGTAAACTTATAAATAGTATGTGTGCAGTTTCACACTGTTAACAGCATTAGAGGCTGATCTAGATACACCAAGAAGCATACAAAACTTATTAAATATGGGGGGGGGGCGTTATTGTGTTGAAGAGCACGCCAATAGATGGACAATATTTCAAACCTTCCTTGCAGAAATAATAGACATTAACACAATAGTAAATGTTGATTTGGGGTGGAGGTATACAACTACATATGAAAATATTGTTGTCCACCAACAAACTTTTCTAATGGACAGGGTGAAAGTTTATTACCTTCGATAGCTAACTAATGATGGGTCTCTACAGTTTCTATTCACAAATTATTTGGTAATCAGCCACGTGCATCCAAATCATTCCAAGTTCGTAGAGGCTCAAATTAAAAAAGAAAACACACTCCAAAATGAAACTGGATGAAAAAAATTATACAACATAACTAAAAGAAGATTACAATCATATTACTAAAAAAATAATTTTGTAATGTTACTGCTTTATGCGAGTTCGATATTCATATTTATCACGTTTTGCCAAGTACGTAATAATTAGCAGAAATTCACTGCAGATCTATAAAAACAGATGCACTGTTTCCATAGTAAAACATTGACTTGAGTTAAAACCTTCTGTCCTAATGTTGGTAATGCAAAATTTAATATGAAAAAAAAAAAGGTATCTTGACAGTCCGATTTCAAAAGTGAATCCAGCAACACGGTAACTTTTACCCAAGTAAATCGAACATCTAAAAGAAATTCTTTTCATCCAGCTCCACGTAAAATGAAAAAGACAACAAAACTTAACCTACCTTGTGAAGTTTGTTGAGGTGAAGGTTGCATGCTCATGTCAGGTTGAAAGCTACTTGGGCCCGGGATCGCAGGTACTCCTGATGTGTCCATGTACGGTAAAACTGCATTTGTACTACTACTATCATGTGAATGACTGGTAACTCCGATAGGAGGCTCCTCGAAAGATACTAGTGGTTTAATATCTGCGTGATAAACGACAGGTCTGAAATGTCAGACTTATTTTTCGCTGGACACAGTACACAGCCTCAGTAATAAATGTTTTAAAATTTAAAGTACTGTAGAAAAATGTTGAAACTTTAAATAAAAAAAATCCCTAAAAATGATACAGGAATTAGTAATTCTATCTATCGTCTGGGACGTATTAAGTAGTTACTTAATAGCGCATTAACAGCATAAACACATTAGTGAATACCAAAAAAACATTAAGAGCCAAGACAAATGTCTATAGAACGTACCCTCAATTTTCTGCATAATTCGATACATTTTAAATTAAAACCTGCCTTTTCTTGGTTTCATCTATAGCACATCAACTCCCGACTACGAGAGAAACGAATAAACATACCTTCCATGGTATTTTGGCTTCCTAGTCCCGACCCCGATGAATCTGATGCTGAATGTAAAGATGTTGGAACGATTGCCTGACTTAATGAATTTGACTGTGGTAATTCTACTGCCGAAGCAGGTGGAAGAGCAAGTGAGGTGGACGTTGATGGTAATGCTGCCTGGGCCTGAGATTCATACATGGAGACCTAAAAAAGAAGCAGATAAGACATCACATACAAATAAATTTTAAACTGTATTAAATAATTTATTTAAGACTATCACCACGTTTTTTTAATGCAAAAGCTTTCGACTCAATTACCTAAGCCTAGTCCAAATAAATTACTTAATACCAATAAGAGTTAAATATCTAAACTGGTAACTAAAATAAAAACAAGTTAATTGTTGAATAACATACACCTGAAACAAAAAACATTTACATTTCAATACTAGTAACTGATACTTACACCACTAGCGTCCGTAGTTAAAGTAGCCTCCATAAGACGTGATGGTTCTACATCAAAGTCACCGTCTGTTATAGAAGGTGGTTCTTCAATGGTAGCACTTGATTCTTGTTGTGAAGGAACTGGCGAGTACATAGAATGTGATTTCTGAGATGAGAGAGAGTAGCTTTGGTTGGAAGGAATAGGAGGAACCCTTGACTGGGACACCGACGGTAATCTTTGACTAACATCTGGAGTGCTTTCATTTAAACCATCTCTACTTATATCACTAATAATTTCCGGAGAATCTGGCTCCTTAATTTTGGATGGTATCGGCTCTTCCGTATCACTTTGACTTGAACCCGACCTCCTTCTTGGTCTGCCTCTTTTACGTTTGTGCACCAGAGGGGATTCTGTGCGATGATGTTGATTCCCAGAAACAGTCTGGGTAGAGGTAACAGGTTGCTGACTAACTTCTTGGGCATTTTGTCTTTCGGCTTGTTTCTCACCACCCACTTCGGCAAGTCCTTTGACTTTCAGAGTTTCTGCTGTTTTTAAAAGAGCAGATAGCTGATCCTGTGACACATTCACTTCACCATGATAAATAAAATCAATAATGGCTTTCATATCAACATACCTCATGTCTTTCATTATCACAATTGGATGTTTACACGGGTTATCAACAAAAAGAGTTTGGAAGAAGGGACTGCATGCTGATAACACAACTTTGTGTGCCTTTAAACTGTGTCCTTCACATGCTAAAGTCACATCTACTAAGGCTTCATTATTAAGTAATTGTTCGAAGACCGAGAGCATGTTGGAATGATGATTGTTCCACTTCAAACAAAACTGTTGAGTCCCCATTTTTCAAAAAAAAGTGCTAGAAACAAACAAACAAAATTCTTACAAATACAATTTTCTACAGCTTAAGTTCCAAAAAAAAAAGTAAAATGACACCATGATACACATCTACTCAATGAATTCTAAAAGCTTACTTTTGTATGCCATGTCATAAAAACGAGTAGTTACAACTTGTTTAAAATTACATAATAAATAACCAAGCACTATTTTTAAAATTATATGTTTGCCTGTATTAGTGTATAACCAAACGTTTTTTTAAAACGTAGTATTTTACTTTCAGTTCTTGGCATAAAATGTCTTTTTTTCGCTTATTAAAAACTAAGAATAAACTTTATAATTTATACAAAATTTTAAAAATCTAACAAACCGCCAACATGGCGCTCCCCCAAGGAAATCGTCAAAAACCGTTTATCCATCATATTGACATAGCCGCGCTTATACATATTACGTTAGAAATACGTCATTAGTCGCCACAATAGTCAATACTGGGATACTTTTGAAACAGTGAGCGACTCCGCTCATCGACAATGCATAATCCTAACCTGTATATGCTACCATTCACAACACTTTTATCTAATGTACTTACTAATTCATAACGAAAAATTGCGAATAGCTTCAATACGTGATATTAAACCTACCTTGCCTATTACGCGCCAACAGCTTCAACTGTACGAATTGCCCTTGCCAGATTTGTCCGCCATATTTATTTTATATTATCAGTATCACTATATGACATACCTGCATAAAACCGCCTGCAAAGTGCAATACACGCAGTTATAAGTTACAAATTTTCATACAGTAATATTAAATACAGTTCAATCTAAAACAACTATAAAATAAGATTATCTATACACAGAAACAAGTTTCAAAAACTGTACAAACCTTTGTTCGAACTTAAAAGCAGTTTCCAGCCTGTTTCTTACTACAGACCCTCCTTCCCCGTTAACGTTTCTTTAAACAAAGAGGCCTTACCTACTATGCTGCACTACAAAGCTGTAATGACGCTACGGGGTTTCAATAGTAACAAAAAGGGCATGGTAACCCGGAGAATATCCGTTTCGGCCAATCATAAACCTCATGGATCGTGATACGCTACGCTATAATCCCTTTCCAACAGCAGTATATCAACAACATAACGCGCCAGCCTAATTTCTGCAGTAATGGACAAAAGGTACGAAAACCTTATGAATGTGAAATTTGAGTATTATATTTATAATGCATTTTCCCCTCAATCCTGTGTGTGTGTATAGTTTTACAAAAATACATAATTTTCAAATACTGCCTTTAATTTTAGAGAAATAAATGTTTGTAAAACAACTCACGTTTCATTGCACTGCAATGTACTGTAGTCTAACAATCAAATTCTTCAAGCTCGTTATTCACCAATTAAAAAAAAAATCCAGCTGAACGTCTAACCATCATTGCCTATTAAATAACATAACAACTTAATGAAAATGTGACCAACACTTAAGTTGTTAATAAAAAGTTTCTCAGAGTTTTTTTTTTTTTGAAATTATGATAGCATTAATAATTTCGTTTTGAGTTTACTTCTGATTAAGTACTTTTTTTATTACAAGTCACGTGGTGCGATCATTCTCAAGCACACAAGTGATCGAAACGTCATACCTGTTCTTAAAAAATAATCTTCGAAGAATCCTTACTGTCAAAGCTGGAACTTATTATGAAATAATATGAATAGTACTGTTTATGCACGAAATAATAACTTAAGATCATCAGTTACTTATTCCGTAAATAAAAATCAATTTACTCAATTTGGTAAGTTGTTATAAATTTCATAAACTTAGAACTGGCAATTAATAAAAAAATTTTTAGACCACGGGGTGCCAAGCTTGATTACTTAAAAGTTTGATCTTTTAAAAACAATTAGCAAACTAGAAATAGCTTTTTTCCGTGACTAAGCTAAAAAAATGGAAGGTAACTAATTTCCTATTCCTCAGCGAAAATGCTCAGTGGTAAGTCTGTGGGCTTATAACGCTAAAAATCGGGTTTTCGATATCCGTGGTGGGCAGATCACAGATAGCCTATTGCGTAACTTTTGAGCTCAACAACAAACAAATCCACCCCAAACTTTCTTGATCTCAGGAAAATTAGTGTAATTGTTATTAGTGAAATGAAATTATATCACGACGGTAAAAATGAAACAAAATTATTAACATATTTCATTACACAACTTCTCAATCTCCTGATTTGGAAAAAGTAGCTGAGTAGATTTTTGGCAACCTATTTCATGTTATTGTATGAATAAAACTTAAGTTTTGGGAAACAGTAAATAAATATCATTTGAGAATAACTAAAATAAGCTTACAGAAGTTTTCTATTCTTGAAGTCGTTGAGCTCCATTCAATGTTGGTATCTTCAGCATTTTAAGAAAAAGTCTTAAACTCAATAACTGTACCTACTCCGTTTTCAATCTGAAATAATACTATATCTGAGATAATATTAAGCAAGAATTGTTAATAAATGCTGTTAATATCTCAAAACAAGTAACTACATGTGATATCGTTCTTAAACAAGCATGCATTAGAGAAAGTACACTATCAATCTTTAGCACAGTACCGTGTTTAGGTTTTGCTGAGCTCTAGATAGAAGTTGTCAAACAACTCCCCCCCCCCCTCCTTCCCCGCATATGAGGAGTAAAGGCAAATGAAATTGCAGAAGTCAACGCCAAACAGTCAAAATTGGATGGCAACAATGGGCTTGGCCAGCAGGATTTGTGACAAAGCTCCAAAATTCAGAGGCTTTATATAAATTTTCTTACTAAAATATACAATTCTGGATAGTATCAATATCAATAGACAATTAAGAAATAGCGTAAAGACCAATAAAATGGCGGAAACGGTTGTCTAAACTATTTGTTCTACGTGTTTTAAATTGTTTCGGTTGAACTTTACTTACCTCTTTTGCAGAATTTTATAGCATTCTTGACATACAATGTTATACCTTTTCTGATGCGCTATGAATAAGGTTGTTTTTGTTAAATAATCAAATTCTTTGACTTTTCATATTTCTTTCAAATGTCCTTAAATTCTGTGCTCATGTTTGAAATTTGTAAACTTCAAATTGTAACTTAGCAAAATTCGATAATCTTCTTTTAGGTCGAATAGTTGCCTACTATATTTTATACAGTACAAGAGCTTGTAAAAGACGGTCACGCCATAACAATTATCGTTGTAACAAATTACTTAATGAATAGTGTTCCGACCACTGCTGTGTTTGTTGTATCCCAGTTCTGAATTTGCGAAACGCGTACTCGGCAATGGATATGGCAAATAAAACGAAATATGATGTAAACTAAGCAAAAGTAAAGTAGACAAGTGCAACGATGGAGCAGTCTATTATGAGCCACTAAGCTAGATTTCGTAAAGCAATCTTGTAGTTCGTTCCAAACAATGCCGAGTGTCGAATTAAAAATAAAAGGAGATGCCGAACGTGTTCCTTGGAAAAGTGAGAAACCTATATTATTAAAAGAAGCTATACGTACACGTGGTATGTCCATAAAGTGTTTTCAAATAAAGGGGAAAATCTTTTTATGTATGGCTGTACATCGTCACTTTATTAATACTGTATAAATTAAGTAAACCAATTTATCATAAATAATTTAAGTAATAATTGCCTTTAAGGTAAAAAAAATCATACGGTGATGTGTAGTTTAACGGTAACTTGAAATATTTTTTGTTATCTATGGTAAAAGCATGTAACAGAACTAACGATAAATTGAATTTCGAGATTTTCTGTAACGAAATGTGTGACGTATCACGAAAATCATTCGACTGTTATAGCTAAGTGGTGGAAGTTCTATGGGTTATGCCGCACTATCTAAGGTCAAACATTCAGCCAAGTGTGTATTTGTAGGCTTAAATGTTAAGATTGGCAAATAAAACCACTAAATATTACATTGTTTACCTGTATCAATTATTCCCTTGCACCTGTGAACGTTTAATCCGTCAGGCTTCATCAGGTATCACATTTAGCCATAAACAGAACCAGAGTCCAGTAGGAAAGAAATAGGGATGAAACTGCTAGAGCTGGTTCATTCAAAAATAACTAAAACGGGCTAGCTACCTTACAAACCCTATCTCTAATTTCTGACTTTAGGAATTCACAAATTCCTATCAGTCTCCTTTCAGATACAACTTTAGAACAGAACAGAGGCAATTACAAATTTGACACCACATGGATGGTATTTCCTGCCTCTGGCTGTACAATCCTGGTCTTCATTGTGAAGCATTTCTACTTGCAACTTTTACTGAAACAATGTTAAGAAAATACTCAGTAGAACTGTGTGCTTATTAAATACTTGAATCTGTGTGATTGGAAATATTCACTAATCATTAAAAACACTGAGTACACCAAGTTTACACTTTGTATGACAAATAAGCTATTGTTTGTGCATTTCACTTTCTACAGGTAAGTTCACCAACATTCAATTGAAATATCATTAACTACTGCTATTGAAAACATCAGGTCAAGCTATATTTTTACCTCGCGCATTGTGTGAACTTGCTTATTATTCTCATCCCTGTAACATAAATTCATTCTCTTTCAAATAATTCAGTGTCAAAATTGAAACATTCTCTCACCAGCATTAATAAAAATATCTGGTGCATTATATCTTTAAATGTTTCTCAGGTCAGTAACATTCGTTTTATAGCAAAACCACAATGGGCCATCTGCTGTGTTTACTGCAAGGAATCAAACCCCGAATTTTAACGTTGTAAGTACGTGAACGTACCAGTATACCATTAGGGGACTTCACAGGCCAGTAATCATAGTTTACTCAATATCTCAAAACTTTAATTTTCATTTTTTTTTCATTTGTATGTTGCTCGACAAATGTGTTCTCTGTATATTGATTCATTTGTTTTATACATTTATGAATGACTTTACTTGACATCCACGTAATTTTTGTTTTCATTCCTATGCAGTTTTGGCATAAACATGTGGTCAAGGAAAACCATTGCAGTCGCCTTGTTTCTTTGTTCTCTATATCAGACCATATCTATTCTACCAAAGGGGATATTACAGCAATAGCATGTATCTTTGTTAATAGTATAACTGGCCACAATATCATTTACTTACCAAATGGATTATGTCTATCTGTATGTTGCATCCAATAAATGCTACAAGAGAACAATGTGATGCTGACCAATTGGATAAATAAACCAAGTTTACCTGTTGAACGAAAGTGTGCTTTCTTTGTTCAATACTACTGGGATATCTTGGAGAAAAGAATTTATTTCGAGATCATCATATCTTTAGTTCTGTCGAGATCAATCCAAAGACAGTGAAAGACGAAGGACTAAGTTCCATCGGCTGTACAAATACAGTGCTTTTTTGTTTTGTTATGGGCCTAATGATGATTATATTGTTTTCTTTAAAATGTGTGCAGTCTCCATTCAATACACTAGAATGCTTAGTTCAGTTGTCAATCACTGTTAATCCAAAACTTCCTGCTGTTAAAGCGTCGTATGACAAACTTGTAAGGAAATCAGTTTTACCCGAGAATCCCATAAATGTTATAAATGCGTTTGCATTGGAGCTCATATGTGAAATCCACGTCCATATCATTTTTACGACTCGACCAACACACCTGTCGGATAACACAGCACACAAGACCCGTGAACTTCCTGCATTTGTAGGTCTAGATTTTTCTATTTTCCCGAAAATTCTTGACATAACACACATTCTATACTAGTTATAGAAGGGTGAAATTCAAGACTATTTCACTCAAAGGAATTTTAAATGTTTGGGAAATTTTAACCTGCTCTCGTTATCTGCAAGATGTTTATTTTTTTTCTAAGTTCTAATTTTGGAATATACGAAATCTAGTTGAAATTATGTGCAAATTCAGTCTCATGGAATAGATGTCCCGTTTGTGATTGTTCAATTGCAGAATGTATAATGTGAAGGCACTTTTGCGTTTGCGAGAGATTGGCCTGATTTTTGAACAATTCACTGTCTAATGGGAGAGACAAGATTTGCTGGTTAAT